GGGACTGATTGGCACACAACGCACATTGAAGTCCCTGCATATTGAAGGCCCCCATGATTACTGTGGTAGTGTCTTTCTTATATGTCCTTTCTATCTCCAGATATTTTTCTGCCCTGACTCCCCAAAGCCTGACCACCATCTACAAGGCACGAGTCAGGTGTGTGATGGAATACTCCCCACTTGCCTGGATGAGTGCAGCCCCAACAACACTCAAGAAGCTTGACACCATCCAGGAAAAAGCAGCCCGCTTTACTGGCACTATATCCACAAGCATTCACTCCCTCCACCACCGACACTCAGTATCAGCAGTGTGTACCATCTACAAGATGTACTACAGAAATTCACCAAAGATCCTCACACGGTACTTTCCAAACCCACAACCACTTCCATCTAGAAGGACAAGAGCAGCAGACATATAGGAACACCACCCCCTCCAAGTTCCTCTCCAAGTCACTCACCGCACTGATGTGGAAAAATATCGCTATTCCTTTACTGTCGTTGGGTTAAAATCTGGAATTCCCTCGCCAATGGTATTGTGGGTCAACCCACAGGAGGTGGACTGCAGTGGTTCAAGAAGGCATCTCACTGTCACCTTCTCAAGGGCAACTAGGGATGGACAAGAAATACTGGCCAGCCAGCAACGCCCACATCCCACAAAATGAATAAATAATTTTTAAAAACCCAACATATTGACAATTGCTAGGAAGTCTGCACATAGCTTCTATCCGGGTCTTGTCGTCTTTGCGGTTCCTCAACTCTCCCCACACAGATTCTACATCTTCTGAACCTATATCGCTTCTTGCTATCAATTTAATTTCATTCCTTACTAACGGAGCTTCACTGCCCCCTTTGCATGTCCTTTCGACAGGACACGTATCTTGGATATTTAGTTCCCGGCCCTGATCCCCTTGCAGCCATGTTTCTGTGGTCCTTCAACATTGTACCTTCCGATTTCAATCGGCACTATAAGCTCATTTACCTTGTTTCACATACTGCATGCATTTAAGTGCAGCAATCCTGCATTGACTGCCACCTCTCCCCTCCCTATAGTTGTTCCCTTATCTGCTGGTGCCTGAAGTTAAATTCCTGACCCTTTCCATGCTCTGTCCTCTTACTTGTTCTGCAAACTTTGATTACCTCTCCTGAGCCCTCCCCGATAAACTTTTTCCATGACTTTCTATGTAACTGAACATCGCCCCCACTACCCACTACTTAGTTTAAAGCTCTATCCACAACTCTAGTTGTGCGATTCACCAGGACTCTAATCCCAGCACGATTCAGGTCCATCCCATCGGAACAGCTCCTTCTTTCCCTGTACTGGTGTCATTGTCCTAGGAATTTAGACCCATTTCTCCCACACCAATCTTTGAGACACGTGTTTACCTCTTTAATCTTGTTGATGCTGTGCCAATTTGTTCGTGGCTCAGGCAGTAATCCAGCAATTACCACTTTTCTGGTTCTGGTTTCTAATTTAGCCCCTAACTGCTCCTATTCCCTCAGCAGAATCTCTTTCTATTTATATCATTGGTACCTACGTGGACCATGACAACTGGATCCTCCCCCTCCTATTCAAAGTTCCTCCGCAGCCCAGACGAGAGATCCTGAACCGGGCAGGCAACACAGCTTAGGGACACTCAATCCTGGCCACAGAGAAGTGTCTATTCTCCTGAATATACAATTCCTGACTACAACTACATCTCTCTTTACTCTCCCCTTGTTGAATGGTTCCCTGGACCACGGTACTATGGTTAGTTTGCTCATCCTCTCTACGGCCACTGCTCTCATTCACACAGGCAGCAGGAATCTCAAACATGTTGTTAGATTAGCTCAAGGGCTGAGGCACCTTCAACATTACCCCCTGGATCCTCCACCTACCTCGTTCATAGCCATACACTTCTGTCCCTGACTGAATTCGAAGTTGTTAATTTCAGGGGTGCAACAGCATCTTGAAACACAGTGTCAGGGTAACTCTCCCGCTCCCTGATGTGTCACAGTATATGAAGCTCAGACTCCAGCACATCAACTTTCAGCTGAAGTCCTTCAGCAACCAACACTTGCTACAGATGTGATCACTAGGAACCCCAATGGGGTCAACCAACTCCCACACCACGCATGTACAACACATCGCCTGACCCAGCATCTCTATTTTATTTACTTAGTATCATAGAATCCCTACAGTGTGGAAATAGGCCATTTCACCCACCAAGTCCACACCACCACCCTTCCGCCCACCGAACAGCATCCCACCCAGACCCTGCCAGGGGCAGAGGTGAGTGTCTTTTTCTGAAGAAGGGTCCCAACCCGAAACGTCAGCTTTCCTGCTCCTCTGATGCTGCCTGGCCTGTTGTGTTCCTCCAGCTCCATACTGCTATTGATTCCGACTCCAGCGTCTGCAGCTCTTGCTGTCTCTAAGTATGAGGCTTCTTCCCAGGGTGGAGGGTTCAATTACTGGGGACGCAGGTTCAAAGTGCAGGAGTTGGAAGGGAAGGAGGAGGGTCTTTAAAACATATGTGAGAGGCAAATTTTTCACACAAAGGATGGTGAGTGCCTGGGATGTGCTGGCAGAGGAGGTGGTGGAAGCAGACACAATTGCAGCGTTCAAGAATCAAAAACAAAGTTGCTGGAAAAGCTCAGCAGGTCTGGCAGCATCTGTGGAGGAGAAAACAGAGTTAACATCTGACCCGAAATGTTAACTCTGTTTTCTCCTCCACAGATGCTGCCAGACCTGCTGAG